TGTAAAAAGGGTGATTAAATCTTGTGTAATATGTCGCCGTGTGAATGCCATATCCTATATGTACCCAGGTCCTCCACCATTGTCAAATGAGCAATTTGAGTCGTTTAGCAACGAACTCCGGCCCGCCACAGAGTGGAAAATACTGTAAATATTTTCCAGAAATTCAATATTTGTTTGTAAATAGATGGCCATACTGTATTTAATAATATTTATGTCATAGAAAACGGAAAGCCTGGGTCTGGGCAGGAGACTCGCCATCTTGGTTTTGAATTGGATACAACGTTAGTGTAATGGGAAGGAATTTTCGTGCTCTAGAGGTTAAAATTGGGCTGACACCTCTCAAATAGGAGGCGAAATTGTTGGACATGCATTCCTGCATAACTTGAGATATCAGACGACTGGACAAGACAGCTCCAGGAACCTCAGATAAGCTCTCTAGATTTGTATATAATTCTGGCCAGTGTTTTCATAAATTTAGTTAGTGAGGTTTTTCTGAGTATGATACAACTTAATATCCAGTTAAATTGGTGAGTGATATTAAGATATATTTTCCTTCTGTTATGTAATTGCTTATATATATAACCATTTATTATTTTTAATATACAGTGTGTGTGTGTGTGTGTGTGTGTGTGTGTACTCACCTAATTGTGTTTGCATCAGTCGAGGCATAGCTCCTGGCCCCACCTCATCGCTGATTGCTACTAGGTCCTCTCTCTCCCTGCTCCATGAGCTTTATCATACCTCTTATTAAAACTATGTATGCTTTCTACCTCTACTATGTCGCTATCCAGACTGTTCCATTTCCTGACAACTGTATGACTGAAGAAATACTTCCTAACATCTACTTGTGACCCCTTTTTCTGTGTCCTATCTCTGGAACACCCTGTCTTTGCCCTGCTTGTCAGTTTTATATGTCGTTATGATGTCTCCCCTAACTTCCCTCTCCCAATGTCATCAGGTCGATTTCCCTTAACCTTTCTTTGTAGGGCATTCCATTTAGCTCCTGGACTAGTCTTGTTGTAAACCTTTGCACTTTCTCTAAATTCTTTACGTGCTTGACCAGGAGTGGCTTCGTAAAAGGTGCCTCATACTCCAATATGGGCCTGACGTACAAGGTGTACAGGGTGTTAAACGATTCCTTACTTAGGTGTCAGAATGCTATTCTTAGGTTTGCCAGGCGCCCATATGCTGCAGCAGTTATCCAGTTGATGTGCACCTCAGGAGATGTGCTCTTTATCATAGTCACCCTAAGATCCATTTCCATGAGTATTTTTTGCAGTCTTTGGCCACCTAGCCTACACTCTGTCTGCGGTCTTCGTTACCCTCCCCCGATCTTCATGACTTTTGCATTTGGTGGTGTTAAATTCCAGGAGCAGCTGCTGGACTAGGCTTGCAGCCTGTGCAGGTCCCTTTGTAGTCCTGCCTGATTCTCATCCGATTTAATTCTTCTGAGTGTATCCCTTCGCTCATGTCATTCACATATACCAAAAATAGCACTGGTCCTAGGAATGATCCCTGCAGAACCCCACTCGTCACAGGCGCCCACTTTGACATCTCGTCGCGCACCATGACTCGTTGTTGCCTCCCTGTTAGGTATTCCATGAACAATGGCAGTGCCTTTCCTGTTATGTGTGCCTGATTCTCTAGGTTTTACACTAATCTCTTGTGAGGAACTGTGACTAAGGCCTTTCTTGCATTCCAAGAAAATGTAGTCTACCCACCCCTCTCTCTTGTCTTACTTCCATTACCTTGTCATAGAACTCCAGTAGGTTTGTGACACAGGATTTCCCTTCCCTGAAATCGTGCTGATTATCATTTATAAGCTTGTTCCTTTTTAAGTGCTTCACCAATCTCCTCCTGATAATCTTCTCTCTGACTTTGCATAATATACACGTCAGTGACGCTGGTCTGTAGTTCAATACCTCTTGTCTGTCTCTTTTCTTAAAAATTGGGACTGCATTTGTCGTCTTCCATACCTCAAGTAGTTGCCCAGTTTCAGTGGATGTGTTGAAGATTGTTGTTGGTGGCACACACAGCATCTCTGCTCCCTGTCTAAGGACCCACAGAGAAATGTTGTCCTGTCCAACGACTTTGAGGTATCAAGTTCACTGAGCAGCTTCTTCACCGCCTCCTCGATTGTGTATTTCATCCAACACTTGTTGTGTATTCCTTTTTGGTGTATCCCCCTATTCTGACTTCCAAGAGTCCTGCCTGTCTCCACTCTAAATATTTATTTCAGTCTCATGTTGAACACCACACATACTTCTTATCTTTTTTTGTGAGCTCCCAACCTTTCTCCCTCAACCTGATTACCTGATCCTTCGCAATTATTTTCTTCCTGGTGTGGCTATACAACCGCTTCAGGTCAGACTTTTTTTTATGCAATGTCGTTTTCGTATCATCGCTGGGCCTCCTTTCTTATCTGTGTATACTCGTTTCTGGTTCTTTGACTAATCTCTTCATTTTCGTGGGTCCTTTGTCTTCTGTACTTTTCCTATTCTCTATTCTCTAGTTTTTCCTCTCCACACTTTTGTGTGAACCAAGGGCTCGTTCTGGTCTTCCCATTATTTCTGTTTTTCTTGGGAACAAACCTCTTCTCTACCTCCTTGCATTTCGTTGTCACATAGTCCGTTTCGTTTACTGATTTTCCTACCAATTTTTTTTCCCACTGAACCTCTTGCAGGAAGTTTCTCATGCTTGAGAAGTTTTCCCTTATGTAATTTGGCTTCTTCTATCCTACTCCTGCTACCTTCTCCACTTGTAACTCTACTATGTATTCAAAGCTCAGAACTATGTGATCACTAGCTCCGAGGGGCCTTTGGTATGTGATGTCCTCGATGTTTGAAATACTCAAGGCGAATACGAGTTTCAGTCTGCTTGTTCATGCTCACCTTTCTCTCTGGTAGTGGCCCTATTATGTTGATGCATGAGGTTTTCCAGACCCACATCCTTCATCTTGGCTCTCCATGTTTAGGGACCCCCAAGTGGCTCCAGGTTTTCCCAGTCTATATCTTTGTGATTGAAATCACCCATTACTAGTAACTTTGCTGTGCCCGTATGAGCTCTTCTGGCCACCTCGTTCTGGCTCTGTTGCTCTCTTCATATTCTTCTCTTGGCCTCCTGCAATTCAATGGTTGGTTGCATATCACTGCAATTAGCACCTTAGGGCCCCCACACTGAATTGTTCCTACTATCGCCGGGTCACCATCTGGAAAAGACCCAGGCCGAGACAAGACAGTGAACATATTACAGTTCCTGCTATGTAGTCCCTTTCGCCCAATACGTCTATTCTTTTCAATTCCTCAAATCCCCATCAGTTTTTAATGAGAAGTGCAACTCCTTGCTCTCTGCTCCTCTATCTTTCATCAGGATTTTATATCCGGGTGGAAAGATTGCATTTGGTATCATCCTGGTGAGTTTTATTTCTGTGAGTGTTATGATGTCTATGATGATTCTTTCATGTTTCTACTCACATTTATTTGTTATTTTGTCCATGTTTGTATACCAAACCTACAACTTCTTTTCTAAAACTGTGGTCTGGGATGTACATCAGGGTTGGGGAAGTGGGAGAGCTGGCGAGGAACTATGGGGGGGGGGAGTTGCTGTGAAGGTGGAGATTGTGATGAGGGGGTGGGGGCAGCAGGTACAGCATGTGGGTTTTGTGTTAGATTGCTTGGCTGCATTGGGGTTGTCAGCTTTGAGAGCCTTCTGTAGGTGCTTCTGAGTGAGGTTGTATTTGCTCTTCCTCCTAAGTCTGGGTTCTCTTGCCCATCTCCATCTTTAACTCTCTTTCCTCCTCCTTCCGTCTTTTTGTCCTCTATTTCAGTTTCTGCTTTTCTTCTCATATTCTGTCGCGGTTGAGGTATACCCTCCAGTATCCAAATATGTCCCTTAGTCGTGCTGTCTCCTGCGGGATTTTGTTTTGAGCCAATTCTGCCTTGAAAATCAATTTGATTGGCCTGTTTCTTCCTCTTGCAAACCTCCCTATTCTCAGAAAATTTGTCAGGTGGGTCATGTCGCCTTCTCTTATTGCTTTCATAATACCTTCAATTTCTTTCTTTTCCCTCTGCCTTCTTGCTTTGTAAGTTTTGCTTTCAACTTTCTGGAGACCATAAACAAAGACTGACCTCTCCCTGTCATTCTCCCACTTTATTTCCTTTTGTATTCCCTAATTCGATTTAGCTGCCTCCGTCACAGCTTTCATTTCTTCATTCTCTTCTCTATCTGTTGTCTCTCTGTCATTTACCCTTCTCAGCTTTTCCTGGGCACCACTGTGGTCTGCTAGGGCCTCTGTGTACAGTTTAACTCCTTCGTTCCCTACAATGCCCTCATTTGTGACTGATGTAGCAGTTCATGATGTGATGCCCGTAGTGCTCTTTGGTTCTTTAGACTGTTTCAGATTTTGTCTATTTGGCAAGGGGCCACTTTGCCAAATTTACAGATTAAAAATTTGTTTTTGCCATAAAACATCGGAAATTGAACTGACCATAGCTAACAAAATACACTGATGCATACTTTGCATCAGTATATGATGTGCTTCTACCACTCAGCCAGACTCCAGATAAGAATGGTCTCCAAGCATTCGTTTGTTGTTGTTTCCCATACCCCGGAATATGAGTCTGGTGTTTATGTTACTTCATCTCATTCTTCTGCAAGTACTTGTCCACGACAGATTTTTAGAATGCTGAACAATTCCTTGAAATAGCGAAATAATTACGAACATAATCTAAGACCAGAGGAGGACTAGAACCTGCACACACTGCATGCAGCAGGATGTTACGAAATTACTTAACATAAGCCACGTGCGCCCCTGGATTTGGGTCTGGGTGTGTGGTACAAGTACTGTGTACCTAGATGTAGTCTGCAGGTTCATTACCAATGTGCTGTTCCTCTGTTGTGAACATAAAGCCAAAACTCGCTACACAGCTGAGTCATGATGAGGTATAATGATCACCTTCGAAAGTGGATCTTTCAAGCGTCAGTCACGTGTAAAGCTTTGTAAAGGCAACATCTACTGAGCCTCGTTCTTGAGTTTTCTGTAATCTCTTCACACTACTATTATAAAGTTGTTTCTAGCATTTCTCTCCCTACTACAACTTCAAAAACAAGTAAGTATAATAAGGAAAATAAAGAAATTCCATCACAATAGTTTTATCTCTAGTTTCTTAGCAATTTAAATGCACATTTGTAAAAAAAAAAATATATTTTGAAGATGTCTGATGTAGACGACCTTATTCCTTCTCACTTATATTTTGCTTGCATGGTTGTTTTTAACACTGACTATTGTTTATTCCACTACTATATACTATGTTCAGAATTATTGTTGTTTATGTCATTGAAATAGCAGACAGTAAACAGGAACAACTTCACTACCAATGATGATCTCTGCCATAAATAAGAGTGCTTATTATGAGAAACTTTTTTATGCTTTTATATCAACTTTTTATCAGTTAAAATGCGTCGATTTAAGCTTGTTTTGATAATCTGTTTAGATGTTGATAAATACAATAACCATACAAATTTAACATGCGTTTAGGAATTAAAGTTAAAGATTTTTCAGTGATTTACTTTTTCATAAATCAGATAATTCTCCTGTGATTAACAACCACCTAGAGTCAAATTAAAAAATAAAATTAAATTTAAGAGAATGAGGAAGAAAATGGATTTGCAAACTCCTAACAAACAGAACACCTGCAAAATTCTAGTAAACAGAACACCTGCAAACTTCTAGTAAACACATCTACAAATTTCTAGTAAAAACAACACCTGCAAACTTCTAGTAACGAGAACACCTAAAAACTTCTAACAAACAGAACATTTGAACACTTCTAACACAACGCCTTCAAACTTCTAATAAACTGAACAGATGCAAATTTCTAACAAGCACAACACATGCAAACTTTTAACAAACACAATACTTACAAACTTCTATCAAACAGAACACATGCAAACTTCTAGTAAACAGAACACCTGCAAACTTCTAGCAAACATAATCCTGCAAACTTCTAGTAAACTGAATACCTGCAAACTTCTAGTAAACAGAACATCTGCACACTTCTAGTCAACAGAACACTTAAAAACTTCTAACTCACATTACACTTGAACACTTCTAACACAACGCTTTCAAACTTCTAAGAAATTTTCAGGTGTTCTGTTTATTAGAAGTCTGAAGGCATTGTGTTAGAAGTGTTCAAGTGAAATGTGAGTTAGAATTTTTTGAGTGGTCTGTTGACTAGAAGTTTGCAGGTGTTCTGTTTACTATAAGTTTGCAGGTGTTCTGTTTGATAGAAGTTTGTAGGTATTGTGTTTGTTAAAAGTTTGCATGTGTTGTGCTTGTTAGAAATTTTCAGGTGTTCTGTTTATAACAAACTCAACACCTGTAAACTTCTAGCAAAGAGAACACCTGCAAACTTCTAATAAATAGAACACCTGGAGTTTACCTGGAGAGGGTTTCGGGGGTCAACGCACCCGCGGCCCGGTTAATCGGGTACTGACTTTAGGTGCCTGTCCAGTGCCTTCTTGAGGACATCCAGGGGTCTATTGGTAACTCCCCTTATGTATTCTGGGAGGCAGTTAAACAGTCTTGGACCCCGGACACTTACTGTGTTGTCTTCAGTGTACGCGTGACACCCCTGCTTTTCATCGGGGAAATGTTACATCTCTTGCCGAGTCTTTTGCTTTCATAGGGAGTGATTTTCGCGTGCAGGTTTGGTACCAATCCCTCCAGGACCTTCCTAGTATATATTATCATGTATCTCTCTCGCCTGCGGTCGATGGAATACAGAACAAGGACCTTCAACCGTTCCCAGTAGTTTAGGTGCCTAATCGTACTTACGTGTGCCGTGAAAATTCTTGGTACACTCTCCAGGTCTGCAATGTCGCCAGCCTTGAAGAGGGCCGTTAGTGTACAGCAGTATTCCAGCCTAGAGAGCACAAGCAATTTGAGGAGAATCACCATGGGCTTGGCGACCCTAGTTATGAAGGTTCTCATTATCCATCATATCATTTTCCTGGAGTATGAGATAGATACATTGTTGTGGTCTTTCAAGGCGAGATCCTCTGACATTATCACTCCCAGGTCCTTCACACTACTTTTCCCCTCTATTGTATGGTTAGAATTTGTCGTATATCCAGACACATTTTTAATTTCTTCAAGTTTCCCATATCTGAGTAGTTGAAATTTCTCCTCGTTGAACTTCATATTGTTTTGAGTGGCCCATTCGAAGATCTGGTTGATGTCCGCTTGGAGTCTCACGGCATCTTCGATGGAGGTCACTACCATGGTAATCCGGGTGTCATCCGCAAAGGAAGACACGTTGCTATGGCTTACGTCTCTGTCTATGTCAGAAATGAGGATGAGGAATAAAATGGGAGTGAGTACTGTGCCATGAGGAACAGAACTTTTAACCGTGGCTGCCTGAGACTTTACTCTGTTTACTATTACTCTTTGTGTTCTATTTGTCAGGAAGTTGTAGATTCATCTATAAACATTTCCCGTTATTCCTTTATCACGCATTTTGTGTGCTATTACACCATGGTCACACTTGTCGAAAGCTTTTGCAAAGTCTGTGTGTACTACATCTGTATATTGTTTATTCTCTACAGCATCCAGGACCTTGTCATAGTGGTCCAGTAGCTGGAACAGGCAGGAGCGATCTGCTCTAAACTCATGTTGCCCTGGGTTGTGTAATTGATGGGTATCTAGGTGGTTGGTTATCTTGCTTCTTAGAACCCTCTCAAAGATTTTTATTATATGAGATGTTAGAGCTATCGATCTGTAGTTCTTTGCAATAGCTTTACTGCCACCTTTGTGGAGTGGGGCTATGTCTGTTGTTTTTAGTGTTTTTGGGATGACCACTGTGTCCATGCTCCGTCTCCATAAAATGCTGAAGGCACGCGATAGAGGCTTCTTGCAATTCTTGATGAACTCTGAGTTCCACGAGTCTAGGCCTGGGACAGAGTGCATGGGCACGTCATTAATTGCCTCTTCAAAGTCTTGTGGAGTTAGAATAATATCCGAGATTTTTGGGATGACCAGATTTTGGGTTTCGTTCATAAAGAATTCATTTGGATTGTCGGTTATCCCTCAGTGCCAATCATGGGAGAGAAGTGAATAGTTAAACAGCCAAGGTTTAGTAGCTGACCTATATTCAGCTGACCAGTGTATAGCGAGAGAATCATAGGAGAAAACGCCTAATCTATCTATAAAACTCAAGGAAAGTCAGGTTATATGTGGCGTTTTCTTCTCTCAGTGCTTTCAAAAATGGCTGAGACAGGAGACCAGGTCAGGCAGTCAACAACACGACGCAGCCCCAATAAATGGAATTGAGGGGGATTTGGACAGATAAAGCCATTGATTAAAACTTTCTGGTCCTGCCAGAATGGAAATGAGTTAGAAGTGTAATAGATGAAACCAGACTGTGAAGTGAGGTGAGAAAGAGAGTGTGAAATAAGGGGATAAGTGAATGGGGTTTGTGAAGTAAAGGGATAAGTTAGGAGTGAAGACGGTTTTGAAGCAGATACCAGGAAATTTACTAGTAATTCAGTGGTGTTTGCTAGAGCAGCTACTAGGGTTTGCTAGGTGACTGGAAAAGAGAAATAAATATTGTTGTATATGAGTAAAAGAGTGAAGAATGAAAATGGCAGGCGTTAGGGGGGTACAGGCTGCCATAATTATATTTATCTTGCTCCTGTAATTTCATGAAGAAAGAAATCAGTCATGGGGGCTAGAAAAGGCAAATGGGTCAATAGCATCCTGGACAGTAAAAGCCCAACAGTTGCCATCCTACCAGAAATGTAAATGTCACTACCGCCGCAAGGTATGGCAACACCGCATACCCAAACAAAAACAGTGGCACACAGCTCTTATTGTAGCGCTCTTAAGTGGTGATATCCAAATTAATCCAGGACCTCAAACTATTGTGCAGAGGCAAAACAGACAAGTGACGGTATTAATGACGGTCTAGAAGCAAGGAATGATAACCTTAACTCCATATGTAATGCAATGTGAGACAATACAGCCATTCTTACTATCTCAAACACCACCAAACAGGTGCATACACTGCACTAAAGTACGCAGGAAAAACAGAAAAGACACCTTATGTAAAATATGTAAGGGGTGGGTGCATGATTGATGTATATACAATTATAGTAACGGTGCCAGAATTCATTTTGTGTGTAACAAATGCACTTTGGCACAATTACCCTTTAGCAATGATGACATTGATTTACCTAATTTTAATACAAATGACCCATTGCCATATATTGATGATTACAATTGTTTTATGAAAACAGGCGTTCACTTTATTCATGTCAACGCAAGATCACTTTTTCCAAAATTGGCAGAGATTAGGATTCTAGCTAACAGAACTAGGGGGGCAGTTATATCCATTTCTGAATCCTGGTTGGATGATACGGTGACTGACGACGAGGTCAAAATAGAAGGTTACAATATAAAACGCTTAGATAGGAACAGAAAAGGGTGGTGGGTATGTGCCTACATTAGAAATGACTTAGCTTACAACCCAAGACCTGATTTAAATAACAATAAACTGGAGATTCTATGGTTTGAAGTGCTGCGTCCCAAGACTAAACCCATCTTAGTAGGAACTAGTTACCGCCCTCCCACCCAGGACAAGTCCTTAGAAGATTTTTCCAGAGTATTGTCCGGACTTGAAAACAAAATCGAGACAATAATACTGGGGGACTTCAGTAGCTGTTTTCAGCAGCAAAATAACGGGCAATGCAAAAGATATAAGCAAATTCTAGTTTTAAATAGTTACACTCAACTAATTAATACACCAACCCGGATCACACAGTTCTCAGCCACGCTAATTGACCACATACTTTGTAACCGCTCTGAGAACATTAGTCAGTCAGGCGTCATTACCACAGGCCTTAGTGATCATTTCATCATTTACTGCACCAGGTAAAATCACAAGGGATAGGATAGGCCTACACAGGACAATAAAAATGATGTCAACTAGAACTACAGTAAAGAAACACTGGTAAATAGGCTACTCAATTGTGACTAGACAGAGATAACAAGTTGCAGGGACGTAAACGATGCTTGGGAAAAATTCAAAACAATGTTCACTACCATCCTTGA